GTGCGGTTGGCGACGGTTGGAAGCATAAGGGAAGGTGAGGTGGCGACTGGAAACATGGAGGAGATAGTGGGGTTGGCGACGGTTGGAAGCTGAATAAGGGAAGGTGGGAGGGGGCGGCAGCTGGAAAACTTGAAGGAGGAGGTAGAAGGAGGGATCAACGGAGGTAATCACCACCTTGAAGCAGAAAAAGGGAAGGTGGGAGGGGCGGCGGTTGGAAAACAGAGAGGAGGAGGTAGAAGGAGGGATCAACAGAGTTAATCACCACCTCGGAGCTGGATATAGTTAGAGCACAACCTATCCTTGTATACAACCCTAGAAAGGGAGAACGCTTGGTGGTAGAGATTAGAAATCAACAAAAACTGGATCTATCGGAGTTCGATGGAGGTATGAATCCCGACTACTTTTTTTAATGACTGCAGTCTATTGAGAGAATCTTCAAATACGAAGAAGTGCTAGAGGATAAAAAGGTAAAACTTGTGGTCATCAAATTGAGAAAGAATGCCTCCTTATGGTGGAAAAATTTGCAGAGGTTGAGAAAAAGAGAGGGTGCTGACAAGATTACCAAATGGGAGAAATGGGGAAGGAGATATAGAGAAAATACCTAACAGTCCATAAAGACCATGATATGTTTCCAAGACTCCCTAATCTATAGTAGAAATCTATTGGTGGAGGAGTTCACAACATATTTCGATCAGTTGCAGATGAAGTATGAGTTGGTTGAGCTTGAGGAACTTACCTTAGTTTGTTATCTAGAGGGTCTGAAGCCCGCTATCAGCAATATTGTCAAACTGCAGCCTTCTGGTCATCGAGATATGTTCAAGCTTTAGCTTCGAAGGTGAAAAAACAACAAAAACAAAGCAAACAACCACCTACAACTGCCGCTGCGAGGAAGGGTTCACCTGGAAAAACAAAGCAAACAACCACCTACAACTGCCGCTGCCAGGAAGGGTTCACCTCCTGGAGGAAGTGACAAGACAGATTTGAGTGAAAATAATTCTGAAAGGGTAGCTCACCCAGTGCAGTGCTTGCTAGGAGATGTTTCAGATGCCACTACTACACACTAATAACCTCTAGTTGTCCCATGAAATGTGTTGTTTCATTCGTGGAGCAGAGTGTCGTCAAGGAAGTGGAGGAAGAGGAAGCAGAGGAGGCTCCAAAGGAGGAACTTCAGCTCCAGGGAGATAAGGGAGATATGTTGGTTGTAAGGAGAGTCACATGAAAAGAGCTGGGGAAGGGTCATTCATGGCCGAGGCACGGTATTTTTCGCACTAAATGTATGGTGAAGAGAAAAGTCTGCAGTCTGATTATCGTCTGTGGGAGCTGTGAGAATGTAGTATCCATTATGATGGTAAAGAAAATGGGGTCGGACATAGAAGCACCCTCAATCTTACTCTCTTTTCTGGTTGAAAAAGGAGAATGAGATACACTTCGATCAACAGTGCTTGGTTGAGTTTCCGTCGTAGATTAGTAACAGAAGCAAGTGTTGTGCGGCGTGCTCCCTATGGACGCTTGTCATATTGTGTTGGGGAAGTCATGACAATTCGATCGTAAAACCCAACACGATGGCTTCAAGAATACATAATTCATTTTGAAAAGAATGGGAGATGCATCACTCTTTTACTCATCAAAGACGTGAGAGTAGACATCAAAGAGAAGATGGTAGTTCCGTGAACCACCTTCTTGAAGTCGGTTCGAGAGGCTCCAGTGGCAATGACTTTGGTTTTGCTAGAGGGAATTGAGGAGGAGGTTGAGATACAGACACCTACACAACCGCTACTACGTGAATTTCAAAATGTGATGATCGATAATATTTCAAATGGATTGCCGCAACTGAGGGGCATTCAGCACAACATACATCTAATTTCCGGATAAGTGTTGTCAAATCAGTTTGCCTATAGTTTGAGACCTATGGCGTACGAGGATTTACAACAACAGGCACAAGATATCGTTGCGAGAGATTTGGTCAGAGAGAGTACTAGCCCATGTGATGTCCCCGCCCTGATGGTGCCTAAGAAAGATGGATCATGTAGAATATGCATTGATGTTTGAGTCGTTTAAACGATTTCTATCAAATATCGATTCCCTATACCTTGTCTTGACTATCCCTTTGATTAATTGCACAAAGCCATTATCTTTTGCAAGATCGAATTTCGCAGCGGGTACCACCGAATTTGATTGAGGTTAGGGGACGAGTGGAAAACTACTTTCAAAGTTCGAGATGGATTATACGAGTGGACAATAATGCCTTTCAGGTTGTCTAATGCACCAACACCTCTATGACATTGATGAATCTGGTGTCCCGGGCTCACATCGGGAAGTTCGTAGTGCTGTACTTTGACTATATTCTGGTATACAACAAATCCGTGAAGCACTTACATCACCTAAGAACAGACTTTGATGTTTTGCGATCAGAAAAGCTATAGGCTCATCCAAGAAAATACCACTTTTTGATTGCACATGTATGTTTCTTAGGCTATATTGTATCTTGTGCAGGCGTCTTGATGGATTCTACAAAGATCGAGACCATTGTGAGCTGAACCACACCTCAATTTTTCACCGAGCTGAGATTGTTTCTGGGCTAGAATCATTATATAGGTGATTTGTCAGGAGTTTTAGTACCATTAACGTTCCCATGACTGCCCAGTGGACAGATGCAACTCAGACCAGTTTCGACACGCTGAAGGACAAATTATCCCAGACACCAGTTTTGGCACTACTAGAGTTCAATCAGTGGTTCGAGGTGGAGTGTGATGCCTCCATTGTGGGGATCAGAGAAGTATAAAGCCAGAGAGGCCACCCCGTAGCATTCTTTAGTGAGAAGTAGAATGAATACATGAGGAAATATTCAAATCACGACAAGTTCCATGCAATTTTAGGAGCTCTTAATCACTGGATTCACTATCAACAGACGAGCGAGTTCACTTTGTTCACAGATAGTGAGGATTTGAAGTTTTTGAACAACCATAGAAAACTGAAGGGCAGACACGGGCCTTGGGTAGAGTTCTTATGGTCGTTCTTGTTCTTGATTAAGCACAAGGCGAAAAACCAAAACCGAGTAGCAGATGCACTGGGCCGCGATCACTTGTTGATCGCTTCGATACAAACTCGAGTCATAGGTTTTGAGGTATTGAAGGAGCTATACGAGACAAATGAAGATATCAGAGTGATCTGGGGGTAGTGTTAGGAGATGCCTACCGAGCTGTACCATAGTGATGATGCTTAACTGTTCCACTAGAATAAATTGTGCATTCTTAGATGTTCGCTAAGAGTCCATTTTCAAGAAAGCCACTTTGGAGAACTTGCAAGACATTTTGACAGGGATTAGACTCTTGCACACGTGGGAGCACTTTTATTGGCCTTGACTGATAAGAGATGTTGAGCGACGCGTTTAACAATGTCGAATTTGTCATTTGGCCAAAACTAAGGAACAAAATGTAAGATTATACGTTCCTTTGACAATACTGGAGGCCCCGTGGGTGGATGGCGGCATGGACTTTGTCGTGGGTCTCCCGAGAACATAGCGGAAGAAGAATTCTGTGATGGTTGTGGTGAATAGATTCTCGAAGATGGTGCACTTTGTGCCCTGCCACCGGACGCAGGATGCATTGCATGTTGCTGATTTGTACTTTAGGTAAGTTTTTGAGAATAAATGGGATTCTAAGGACCATCACATTTGATAGAGATGCCGAATTTTTGAGTCATTTATGGAGGACCCAATGTAAAACCTCGACACCAGGCTTCAATTCCGTTCAGGAGCTCACCCTCAGACCGTTGGTCATACAAAGCTGGTGAATACGAGTTTGGGGGATCTTCCGACTTGCTTTGTGTGAAAAAAATATCGAATAGTGGCATTTTATTCTAGCTCAAGCCGAACTTGCTTGCAAAAAATCTACAAGTTTGACCATGCCATGCATACCATTTGAGATTGTGCAACCCACTCACTCCACTTAAATTGGTAGCACTTCTGCTGACATCAGAGATTGGTGAGGATACTGAGGAACAGGTGCAAGAGTTTCAGAAGCTACACGAAGAGGTGAGAAAGGAGATTACTAAGCAGAACCACAAGTACCAATCACAGACCAACAAGACTTGAAAAAGTTGTCTTTTCAAGAATGGGCCGTAATGTTGATCCTACTAAAGAAAGAAAGTTTTTTAGTAGGGGTTTTCGACAAGCTTAAGGCCAGTGCAGATGGACCCTTCAAATTCCTAAAGAAGCTGAACGACAACGCCTACAAGATTGACCTACCAGGGGACTACAACATTTCAGCTACCTTCAACGTGGCAAACATGACTTCCTACAATGAAGAACCAGAAGCTTCCGCGAATGAGGTCGAAGCTTTCCCAATCCAGGGAGACTGACACGGGGCTCGCCTTGGCGGAACAGGCTGAAGGAAGTTTGACCGATTTAGCTAGGGTGTGCAAAGGCCAACCGACCCTAGCTTGGGTTAGGGTTACTGCCCAGGAGAGAGGGGGGGGGG